ATCTTAGGAGTGCTTATCTATGAGCACGCCTAAGGTTGTTATGCTGAACTGGCTCACTATCTTTCAATCCTAGAATATAGTTCTGTTATTGGCACATATGAAAGGTTGTGAATCCACAACACTGGGGCGGGGCGAGATGAGCGGTAGCTCAGTATTAATTCAATAGAATCGTGTGAAACAAAGGATTATCACAAAGTGGTGCAAGTAATTCGTTATGACAGTCACAGAAATGAATAGAAATGTAGTTACATTCGTAATGTGCCATTAGGAGAGATAAACCGTACTTAAAGAAGATGTTCACATGTAATTCAGAGTGAATAGTGGTTTCTTGAATTCGCACTGAAGTTGTAGACGCGGTCGTTCTGTGCACGTCGTCGTTTGTTAGGTTGAGTTTCTGAGTTCCGACACAGTTGTGATAGCTGCTGTATTGAGGCGTTTTCCAGTGGTTTCGTGCGGTGCAACACTGGCGTTGCAGCGAGGTGTCTTGACTTGAATGTGTCTTCAAGTGTTGTACATAATTGCTTCCGTTCGTTTCTGCCGTTTGTTTCCGATGTTTCTTCCTTGATGGGCGACAATTCTCCCGCTTATGATGAGAAGATTCTTTACATTTGCATGGAACAGCATTCACGGATAACTGAGTTTTGAGCGGTAGTCTTTTGTATGAAGCCGAAGTTGTCACACTAAAGTGAGAGATTCCAACGACTCCGTTCTTTGGTCTTGTGGCGCTGATCCTGCTCGTTCCGGAAATCGTGTAACCAAATATTGTTGGCGTTAGAATGAGTCCTGATGGAAGGATCATCGTTGGAGCATCGTAACAAATCACTTGGTCGAGTAAGTCTTGTCCTATTATTAGATCAGGTGTGACCTCGGTTGACTCCAGTGTTTGCTGAGCAATTGTGAGGTTCCATTGACTTATGAAGCACTTGTCAGTGCGCGACAGCTCTGCAGTCTAGGTCGGAGCAGTTAATTTCTCTTTGGTGTAAACTGCTTTTCTTAGCAACTCCCTGGTAGTATGAAGACTTTTTAAGATTCACTACAAGTTCATCAAAGTCGATAGTCTCTTGAAGCTCTCCCATTCCTATGGTGGTGAACGTCGTAGAGCTGAGAGTGGACAAACATAGTTGGCTCTTCGTCTGCGCTCTCACGAAGCTTCTTTGGGCTCCTGAATCGAGCAGCACATTGATTGGCTGATAGTCCATTTCAGCTTCATCGAAGATTCAGTGCTGATGCAGTCTGCAGCACATGTTGGGGAGCTGGTTTATTCGGTTCGGCTGTTGAACTTTCTCGCGGAAGCATGTTGAGCAGAGCTTGACTCCGGACAATCGGTCGTGGATGGTTACTTCTGACTGCTGGAGCCTGCTTGTAGCAGTTGTTCATCGAAATGTTGGCCATTGATGGCGCCTGGACGCTAGCGGTTCAAAATGGATTCACTCGTTGACTTGATGGGTTGCGTTTTGCAGTCGGTTCGCAGAAAATATGCAAAGTGAAGAATGGTGGTCTTCGTTGCATTTCGGACATTTGCTGACAGTAGAACACTGTCTCGAACCGTGCTCTTTGCTAAAGCACCTCCAGCAAACCCTTTGTCGCCTGGCTTCTGCTCGGCGCTCCTCTGGTGAGCTGAATTTCTGCATGTTGTGGAGGATGAGTTCCCCATAAAGGCATGCTGGTTTGATTGTTACCCAAGTGAGGTCCGCTGTTGAAGGATGCTTCTTGAACGCTGTGGTCGTAGTCATCTTCGCAGTGACTTCCATCAAAACCGAATAGCGTCCTCGTTGTGAGTTCGGTTGTTTCCTGCAGAGCAATTATTCCATCGATGGATTCGATAATCTCGTTCACATTGAAGGAGTATCCAGCTTCATTTTCCTCCCTGATTACTGTGCTGCAGATGAATTCTGTGAACTTAGACAGAATCAGACGCCTCCACATTCGATCAGCGTTCATTGGTAGTCCGGTCTGTTCCAAATGTATTATGCGAGAAGAGATTGCTTCAAGAGTTTCACGGCAACTACTTGGGTTTTCGTGAGCTCGCGGGAGTCGTTCGATTTCGTTGATCAAGATGTCTGCGATGCTTGCAGATCTATCATAGTGTTTCTTCAATATCTTGACGGCTACTGGGTACTTCTCGCCCATAACTGGGATGCTGCTGATTGAAGCAGCCGCTTTTCCTTGAGAGCCTGCTTCAAGAATAGGAATTTTTCCTGGTCGCTCAAGTCGCTGTCGTTGTGAATAAGCGACTCGAAGACAGACCAAAATGTGCTGAATTCTCTGTAGTTTCCTGAGAAGGTAGGAACCTCCAGTAGTGGGCGTCTGACTCTAATGTTGCGTTCTTGTGGAGTCATGGCGCTAATTAACATTTCCTTGACAGTTGCTGGCACCACTGCTGACAGACTGGCTGTTGGTGGCTTGAGATGTGGTCAGCAGAGCAGTTTGTTGTAATAATTCCTCTTTCCTGAAGTCGATTCTGGTCAGCCATTGTATGACGGAAATCTCTAGGCCGTTGGATTCAGCCTCCAGATGTTTGTTCAGATCTAGCATAAGCTTTTCTCGTTCCTTATGCTCTGTTCGTGCATTGATGGTTTCGATGGCTTTGATAACGTAGGAGTCGTGGAACTGCTTTGCTGCGTTGATTGTTCTGGAGAGAGACAGTTCAGTTGTGTTGTTTTCTCTCCAATATATG